CTAAACCCTAAACCCGAACCCCTGAACCCTAAACCCAAAGCCATGAACCCTAAACCCTAAACCCGAAGCCCTGAACCCTAAACCCAAAGCCATGAACCCTAAACCCTAAACCCGAAGCCCTGAATCCTAAACCCAAAGCCATGAACCCTAAACCGTAAACCCGAAGCCCTGAACCCTAAACCCAAAGCCATGAACCCTAAACCCTAAACCCGAAGCCCGGAACCCTAAACCCAAAGCCATGAACCCTAAACCCTAAACCCGAAGCCCTGAACCCTAAACCCAAAGCCATGAACCCTAAACCCTAAACCCGAAGCCCGGAACCCTAAACCCTGAACCCAAAGCCCCGAATCCTAAACCCTTAACCCAAAGCCATGAACCCTAAGCCCCAAACCCAAAGCCCTGAACCCTAAACCCTAAACCCAAAGCCCTGAACCCTAAGCCCCAAACCCAAAGCCCTAAACCCTAAACCCTAAACCCTAAACCAAAGCCCTGAACCCTAAACCCTAAACCCAAAGCCCTGAACCCTAAGCCCCAAACTGCAACTGGGAGTCTCTCGCAAGTGCAGGTCGGGTCTCCGCAGGCTTCGGGGTTAGGGCTTGGGTCTTAGATTCTATACCTGGAACTACCCCGGAGAGTGTTTAGGGTTTAGGGTTTAGGGTTTAGGGCAAATAGTATGTACCTTGGCCCCAAAGTACCTATATAGGGACTACTTTAAGGCCAAAGTATATACTGTTTGGGCACATGGACCTTAGGGTTCGAGAACCTACCTTTTTGTAGGCTCTTATGGTAACACCTAAGACGGAAATTTCAGGGACCCTACAAAACAGTAGGTTTTAGTAGAGCTTAGGGTTCACAGGCTGCCTTGTAAAGGTTGCTGTTCGCAATTTGGGTTTAGGCTTCATATGCCTTAGGGTTTAGGGTAGACTACCCATTTGGGCATCGTACTGAAGGGAACCTGTGCTCAACACAAGAAGGCCGTGTTACATTTGTTCATCCTTCGCGTGTAGCCCTCAGATTTGCATCTGCTCCGAGGTCATCGGGTTAAGGGATTAAAATGTTAGGGCTTAGGGTCTTGTAAGGTTTAGGATGTGGTATGAAGCTTGGATTAAACCCCAAACCCATAAACCCTAAACGCCTAGAGCCCTAAGCCTAAAACCCTAAAACCTAAACCCTAAAGCCTAAAGCCTAAAACCCTAAGACCCTAAAGGCCTAAAGCTCTAAACCCCTAAAGCCCTAAACCCCCTAAAACCCCCAAAACCCCGAAAACCTCTAAGCCCCCTAAACCCCAAGCTCCTAAAACCCTAAACCCTCAAACCCTAAACCCCTAAAACCCCTAAGCCCCCTAAAACCGAGGCGCCACGTAGCAGGTCAAAGTGATGCCGATGAAGGTGACGAAGCGTAGGATGCCGGCCCAGGAGCCAATCCCGTCCTCTTTAAAACGGTTTGGGGCTATAGGGCTTGGGCTTTAAGCTCACTCTTTAAAGATTTGGGGCTTAGGGTTCAGGTTTTAGGGTTCCGGGCTAAACTGTTTGGGGCTTTGGGGTTGAGATTTTAGAGTTTTATGTTTTAGGGCTTAGGGTTCAGGTTTTAGGGCTCCTCTTTAAAGGTTTAGGGTGTAGGGTTTGAGGGTTTAGGGTTTAAGGTTTGATGTTGGGGGCTTAGGGTTTGAGGGTTTGGGGTTTAAGGTTTGATGTTTGGGGCTTAGGTTTTAGGGCTTCGGGTTTAAAGGTTTGGGGCTTAGGGGTTGAGGTTGTAGGGTTTCGGGTTTGATGTTCAGGGCTTGGGTTTCAGGGTTTCGGTTTTAAATGTTCAGGGTTTAGGTTTTAGGGTTCCGGGTTTACTTGTTTAGGTTTAGGCGTTAGGGTTTCGGGTTTGATGTTTAGGGCTTAGGATGTTGGGTTTAGGTTTTTTAATGTTGACAACATCCTCTTCGAAAGAGGCCTACGGATCGGTTCCTTTAAGGGACCGAAAAGTGTTCTATGAGGGATTTCGGGTTTCGAAGATGGCAAGACAGATGGCTGTAAATTCACGCATCCATAAGGGCTCTAGAAACTTTCATGCATATATATATATATATGTATGTATGTATGTATACATAGCTCCTACAGGTTTAAGGCCTCAGGTTAGCTCTTGTAGTAGGTTCAGGGCTGTCGGTGTCAGGGCTTAGAGGATTCCTTCAGATTTGCAGCAGCATACCACAGGGTGCTAGAAGAAGTCACGACCTTCTTGCCAAGGCGACTTCGACTTCTTTATAGCGAGGGTTTAGGGTTTAGGGTTTAGGGTTTAGGGTTTAGGGTTTAGGGTTTAGGGGAGATTTAGGTTCGGAAAGAAGTCTGTAGACTCTGATATGCAGTCCATCCACCCGGTGTCCCAGCTTGAGGAACGAACCCCCTCATGCTTCCGAATGCTACAAAACTAGATCTACAAGGTAAGGGTTGTGTAAGGGGCTTAGGGCTTGGCGTTCCTGTTGGGGTTCCTTTACGGGACCTACAGGGACAAACAAAAGTTAATGTCGACAAGCCCAGATCTTGACCCTAAACCCGAAACCAGATGAATGGCGCAGGAAACCGCTTCCCAGAGCCCGCAAGGGGCTTCCTGGGTTTAGGGGTTTATGGTTCTTTAGGGTTTCTTTGGTCTCGGGTTTAATCCCAAGACTAAAGGTATAGACCTTCTTTCACAAAGGGGGTATGAGGCTCTCATGAGACCCTGAGCCCGAAACCTTAAACACCTTATAAACTCTAGCCTTCTAGCAGATCCCTTAAAGGAGCCCTCAACGCTCCACAGGAGGTTACAGTCCCAAGTAAGACCGCGCGGGATCTTCAATCCTACCCCCCGTTTATCCCACCTGCCCCTGAAAACCACAAACCCTCAAACTCTAAACCCCAAGCCCTAAACCCTCAAACTCTAAACCCCAAGCCCTAAACCCCAAACCCTAAACCCCAAACCCAAAACCCAAAACTCCAAACCCTAAACCTGACGTGTTGCAATCTGGCCTGTGTTTGCGGCACCACCCTCCTCAGGCCGTAGGAGAACCTCCGTTGCAGGTACGGTTGCAAGTGGTTTCGGCTCCCTAAACATTAACGGTTTAGGGTTTAGGGTTTAGGGTTTAGGGTTTAGGGTTTACCCACTAGCCTGCATTTTAAGGGACTTCTATAAGGAAACCAAGATATGTCCGAAAAAGGCAGGTCTACCGCCGCCCCTCCAGAAAACACATTCTACCATGCAGATCCGTGATGAGTACCACCTCCCCAGCCCCAGCCTTCCTTCTTAAGCGGAGTTCAGGCCCTTACAGAAACGTACTACAGGGGCCTTAATAAAGAATAAGGTTTTGGGGTCCTTTATAGTCTAATTATCATAAGGAAGCCCCGAAATAATCTAGGTAATCATTGAAGCACCCATGTTAGGGTCATTGATCAGGGGTCTACATTACCCCCCCCCCCGGAGACCTGACACTTACATCCAAAAGTCCAAGACCACCCGAGCGTCAAAACCCCAAATCCTAAGCACCGAATAGAAACTCTAGACACTAATGCAGGCGCCTTGATAAATAATTAGAATTGGGTTTTCGGGGTCCCTTATTATAATTATAGTATAATATACCCCAAACCATATTCTAAGTACTAAGGCCCCTATACTAAGCACTGTAAAGCCCTTCTCAGCAGTCCCAGGAGCTTGAAGGCAATCAGCTTCTTGATGGGGAAGTTTGCAAAGAAACCTAGATGCGGGCCATGGGCGACATTTTCGGGTATAGGTTTTATAAGGATTATCCCGCCTGGAGTTGAGGGTCTAGAGGGCTTCCTTACCGCCCTTTACAAAACTAACTTCTTGGAGATCTACCCCTCACCCCTATACGCAACGAACAAGAGCAGGAAGGCTTTGGGAGGCTTGAAGGCCCTCTGGGCCTAGGTTTTAGGGGTTTGGAAGGGTGAATGTCGAGGCTTTAATTATTAGAATTGGGTTTTGGGGGTTCCTTTATATAATTTCCTTTTTAGAATTGGGTTTTTTGGGGGGGGTTCCTGAATATAATTGTAGATGGTATAGCCCAAACCCTATTATTCTAATTACTGAGGCCCCTATACTACAGGCTTCAAGCTCTGAGCTTTGGGGCTTGAGTTTTGGGGGTTCGTTATTATAACTGTAGTATAATATAGCCCAAACCCTATTCTAAGTAATTGTAGATGATATAGCCCAAACCCTACTATTCTAATTTCTGAGGCCCCTATATACTACAGGACAGGCTTTAAGGTAGCCCAAACCCTATTCTTCTAGTAACTGTGGTCCCTATATTACAGGCTTCAAGCTCTGAGCTTTGGGGCTTGGGTTTTGGGGGTTCCTTATTATAACTGTAGTATAATATACCCCAAACCTTATTCGAAGTAATTGTAGATGATATAGCCCAAACCCTATTACTCTAATTACTGAGGCCCCTATATACTACAGGACAGGCTTTAAGCTTGGGGCTTACATGCTCCGCGACTTGACGGCTCCGCGGATTTCCGCCTTTGTGGCTTTTTCTCTTTGGGCTCACAGGGTTTGGGGTTCAGGGTTTAGGGTTTAGGGTTTAGGGTTTAGGGTTTAGGATTTAGGGTTTAGGGTTTAGGGTTTAGGGTTTAGGGTTCGGGGTGTGTAGCGCAATTCAGCGCGGGCTTAGACACCACAGGCAGTGGACCCTACTACTTGTGTGTGAACCACATGCCCCTACTTCAAACTTCAAACCACAACCCCAAATTCTGAGCCAACCACACCTAAACCATAAGCACTGCAGCCTGCAAGGCCGTAAAACACTCTAAACTCTACGCCGCAAGAAGCTGATCATAGTATCAAAAGAAACCTAGATTATTTTGTTTTCAGATTTCCAACACCTAGACAATGAAGCCCCCCAAACACTGCTAGAACACCCTCCAAACCCTGTATACAATCCTAGAAAAACCTCACAGAATTGCTGAGTTCACTCCCCCGAACGAGGTCAAGCTCGCAAGTCTGGCCGCACATTGTAATATAGGGGCCTCAATACTTACCTGCATTATTGGAGGGGGGGGGTCCTTATTGTAGTAACTATAGTATAAAGGGCCCCAAAGCCCTATTCCAGGTATTAAGGCCCCTATACTCCACCCGAACAGGTTGAAATCCCTGAATAAACTCCTCGAAGCTTCAACCATCTTCAGCCCCTAAGCTCTAAGATCTACCCAGAGGCTCCAATGTAGTTCCTTTTTGGGTCTGTTATGGCTTATGGTAGGAGCTACAGTATAATATCCAAAAAGGAACTACAAAGGAGCCCTTGGGTTTTACCCTAAGACAGATGGAAGTTCCCTTTCACGGACCCCTCAGCCCTAAACCCTCACATCAAATCCCTAACCAAACACATCGAACCCAAGCAGCATAGGAGGCAAATCGAAGGGCAAAGCGCTCCGAACCTAAGGAAGGTAAGATCTGGCTTGGGCGAGGCTTTGGGGTGCAAGTGCTTAGAGGTTTCGGATTTTGGGTTTAAAGTTTAGGGGCTTCGGGATGAGATGAGACTGGTTTAGAGTTTAGGGTGAAGGAATTCCGGCCAACAAACGGCTCGACTCTAGAGGCTCGCATTTCGAGGCTTTTGGTATGTGGATTCTGTTGCTGCTGCGTCCGCTGCTGCGACAACTGAGCATGATCAAGGCGAGTCTGCACCAGGGCCTCCACTCGGTTTCGTTGCTGCGGATCCAGCTGCAGACGGTCCCAGACCCATGGCCAGCCCATGATCCCATAGAGCTCTCGGTCGCCCATCGTCACGGCACGGCGGCCACTCGGAATCGTAACCTGCTGGTCTTCAGGCGAGAGGTCCACATAGACACCTGGCAATTCGGTGAAGTGCTTGGTGTCACTGCGAGGAACCCGAGCGCCCACACGAACGACTCGAGCGAACCCCAGAGGCAGCGGCGTAGGAGGGATAAGTGCCATGGCAGAGCGTAAAATCAATACGATTGAAGGTGTTGATCGCTTGGGGGTTCTTGTTTTTCCAACCAATGACGCAGACCGCCTGATTGGGAAAGCTTTTTTTCATTCAAGGGCCCGGATTTTCGAATCTCTACTATGGTCCTTTCATGGGTCAGAGTTCTCCATGACCCTATAAACCCTAAACCCTAAACTCTGAACCCCTAAACCCTAAACCCTAAAGTCCTTTTTGAGTTTAAGGCTTCGCGCACGTCGAGGGTTTTCGGGTTAGAGTCGCAGACATGCCGCACCAAAAGGCCTGGCTGCTCCAGGGTTACCAGACCCCAAAAGGATCTAAAAAATAGATCCCCTAATTAGGGACCCAAACTACTAAAGGGTACTTTATCGGAACCCCCTTAGGGGATCTATTTTTTAGATCCTTTTGGGGGGCCTGGGTTAAGGATTCAGAGTTGAGGGTTAAGGATTCATCCTTTAGGCTGAAGGATTCATAGTTTAGGGGCTAAGGGTTCATAGCTTAGGGTTGGGAGTTCATAGTTTAGGGCCTGGGGTTCAAGATTCAGGGTTTTGCATTGAAGGTTTACGCGGGTTTAGGGCTTGGGAGCTCTGCCTGATGGGTACTTGTTAGTTCGAGTGATACCTTAGACTATATTCAACAACTTAGGGTTTAGGGTTTAGGGTATATTCGCGGTTATAAGGACCCTAGCTGGGCCAATCCTCATTATGATGCGGTCTATCGGTCGCCTCGGGAAAGAAGCAGCGAGAGGCCAATACAGAAAAAGAGAGGGCACAGGCATCATGCACTGTTTCAAAGCCTGGGATCAGAATGTGTCACAACACTATTGAAGGGATGGCAAAGGCAGAGAGAGAGAGAGAGAGACAAAGCCTAGTACGTATGCACGAATAAAGACACCCTCAGCAAAACTACAGAAAGGGATCCATTAAGAAGTCGGAAGTACTCTTGAAGGCGGTACTATGTACTCCTAGCAGGGACAAGCAATAAACCACAACTGAAGCCTGATCCATCAATGCCCTGGTAGCACAGTACTAGTTTGTTTGCTGAGCCAGGTCACATCACGATGAAGCCGTAGTTCGTCACGATTTGCATGTAGTCGGCAATCTCCTAAACCCTAAACCCTAAACCCTAAACCCTAAACCCACGGTTAAGGTTTAGGGTTTAGGGGCTGAACCATGCAGCCTCGTTGCTCGGCAAGATTCTGCTTCATGCAAAGCTCATGCAGCCCCAAACCCGTCCCTGGAATCCACGCAAGTTCCCACATCGTAGGCCTGTGAGACCTACACCACCTACTAAACCTCCAAGCCGCAAGCCCTGATACAACCTAAGCCCAGTAGCACCCGTCAACATGCTACAAACTGCTCATCAGCAGAACATCTTGCGAAACCCCAGTTTCCACACTGGATTGCAAAAGCGTCACTGAAAAGGCTCCTAAATACGGTGCCGCCAGTTTAAGAATCCCACTCCTAAACCCAAAACCCTAAAGCCGCTCCATATCTTTACAATTATGCAGCCGGTAGTGAGCGTCCTCTGTCTCATCGTACTCGTAGAGCATCCCCTTTCCAGGGGGCTTCTCAACGGAGTCGAATGTAGGGGCCTTAATAATTA